TTTTTTTCAATGTTTATTTATTTTTGGGACAGAGAGAGACAGAGCATGAACGGGGGAAGGGCAGAGAGAGAGGGAGACACAGAATCGGAAACAGGCTCCAGGCTCTGAGCCGTCAGCCCAGAGCCTGACGCGGGGCTCGAACTCACGCACCGCGAGATCGTGACCTGGCTGAAGTCGGACGCTTAACCGACTGCGCCACCCAGGCGCCCCTAAACCCTCATCTTTTATGGGAGAATTCTTTTGAGTAGTCTTGTAGATAATCAAATCAGTTGTGCTTACCTGATTTGTTTAAAGTAACAGTTTTGTTTCCTCCTTTCTATCATTATAGCTCTTAGCGCAAAAATTTCTATTGGTGTTAACCATGAATAAATTTTGAAAATTTTTGAATACCTTTTCTGTATTTATTACAAACGGAACATATGATTCTTTTCATTTATATGCTAATGAGTTTAAATACATTGATTCCCTGATGTTTAACCAACCTTGCATTCCTAGAACTTTTGTTTCTAGTAATTTCACTGAGAAATAATAATTTTATCTTCTTTCCATTGTTGATATTTATCTGATTTCTTTTCCTTGTGCAACTCCATTCATTAGTACCAGGAATACATTGTCAAATGACAGTGGTGTTAATAAATATTTTGTTTAAAACCTGAAAACTTTGGGTTGAGATCAGTCTCTCTTTCTAATAACAGGCAGATATAGATAAATGGATGATTTTCACTACATTAAGGAAGTATTCACATAGTTCTTTTTTATTAAGAAAAAATTGTAATGAAAATGTTGTGATGTTAAATCTATCAGATGTTTGTAAGAATCCAGAGAAATTACTGAATTTTACTTCTGATATATTATTACTGATATATGCTCTATTAAATTATGTTTATAGATTTCCTAAGCCATCTGAATATTTAGGGAGGGAGGGAGGGAGGGAGAGAGAGAGGGAGAGGGAGAGAAAGAATCCCAAGCGGACTCTGCACTGTCAATGTAGAGCCCAATGTGGGCTCAAACCCACAAACCATGAGATCATGACCTGAGCTAAAATTAAGAATCAGACACTTAACCAACTGAGCCACCCAGATGCCCCAAGTACAGGAAAAGTTTTAGCAGGAAATTCAACAGCAAATATAAAGGAATTGGTAAGAAAATCATATTATTGTGTAAAATATCTTCCTATCAGACTAAAATACCTACCTTCTGTCTTCTAAACTCAAAAATGTAAGCCATTTTATTTAATAAAAAAGACAAAGTCTTAGAACTCCAGGGTGGCTCAGTTGGTTGAGTGGTTGAGCATCCAACTTTGGCTCAGGTCATGATCTTGTGTTCCTGAGTTTGAGCCCCATATCCGCTCTCTGTGGTCAGCACAGAGCCCACTTCAGATTCTCTGTCTCTCCCGCTTATGCTTTCTCTCTCTCACAAAAATAAATAAAACATTTAAAAACAGACAAAGCTTTTATAAACAGTATACTCTATAAAATGTGTCAAACTTCTAACTTTAATTTTCTAATGAATTCATTTTATGAATAATTCCATAAAATCTTAAGTTGATTTGCTGAGATGGAAATTATTTCTTCTCTCAGTGAATCCCCATGATATTTTCTCTGTATCTTTATGGTTCTCTAATGACTATAAGATACTTATTTTACTTGTTTCATATGTATGTAATGGACTATACACAATATGTAATACTACCCATTTTTATGTTTTGTTTTTTCTATATTTATAATACTTAGTAAACAAAAATTTACCCTCCTTCAAAAAAACCACAATTTGAGGGCATCTGTGTATCATATTCACTTTTATAAATCCTCTGCAACTACCAACACATTTTAAATGTAAGATATGCTCAGTTAATTTGTGCTAAAAAATAACATTTCCTTTAAAAAACGTCCATTAAGACTACCTTACAGACAATTTTTTAAAAGTTTGTTTATTTTGAGAGTGGGAGGGAGGATGCGTGTGTGTGAACAGGGGAGGGGCAGAGAGAAAGCAAGAGAGAGAATCCCAAGCAGACTCTGCAGTGACAGTACAGAGCCCGAGGTGGAGCTTGATCTCACAAACCATGAGATCATGACCTCAGCCAAAATCAAGAGTTGGACACCTAACTGACTGAAGCACCCAGATGCCCCTTTACAGGTGATTTAAAAAGCAGACAGTACATAAGTTTCAGATATATTGAGAAGTACTAAATTTAAATCTTACTGCCTATAAACAAAAGAAACAAAAACAGGGTCTTCTGGGTGGGTCAGTCGGTTAAGTGTCTGACTTCAGCTCAGGTCATCATCTTGTGGTCTGTGAGTTCAAGCCCCATGTTGGGCTCTGCTGACAGCTCAGAGCTTGGAACCTGCTTCAGATTCTGTGTCTCCCTCTCTCTGTCCCTCCCCAGCCCCTCCATCTCTCTCTCTCAAAAAAAAAAAAAATTTTTTTTAAAAGAAACACAAACAGCTTTAGAAATGAAAATGAGTAGAATTCTGCCCTACTTATTGCATAGGTGCATACCCTTTCTTCATTTATCATCAGACTTAGTCATGAGCACAATTATCCGGCCTTTTCAATTCTAGGATATTAGATTATTATGGCACCCTGCAATAATGACAATAAAAATGTATAAGTATATGGAACATCTATGTAATATATGCAATGTAGACACTCAAATATTAGTTCCATTTCTCTTCCTGTGTTAGTCTATAGCCACCTCCTCACACTATGATGGCCACTACTTAACTGACATGTAAAATAAGTCAATTAAATCAGAGAATATACCTTAAATTCAAATGGGTAAATTAGGTTTTTAAATTTCCATTTTAATACAATGATGATGATGATGATGCTACTAATATCCACCTTTAATTTGCTCATATATTTCTCTCATGTACAAATTTCTATTATGTTATTTTACCCTAACGTGATCATATTGCTCTTCTAAATGACATCTCTGGAAACAATTGCAGGCTAGTGGAAGAAGTATGTCTTTGGTATTATTATAATACCTGTATTCCAGTTTCAGTTCTACATAGAACTGTGATTTCTTAATCTGAAAATAGGAATAATAATGTCTACCTCACCAAACTGTTATAAATATTAGTGAGTACCTAAAGATGTTTTTATAAAAATGGAAAATATGATGCAAATACAACACTGTATTTCTAATCATCATCACCATAATACATCTAGAAGGCAAACTGATCCTGATTTCCAGCATATCTTATCCAAAAATAATGCTGTGGGTAGTTAAAAATCAAGCAATGCTATGGGTAAATCATTATACCTAAAACTTCCAACTGGTAATCTCTAGAAGCATAGAGGTGATCCTTGCTCCAAAAATTTGAATTTCCCTTCAAATCAAGAAATAATTAAACTAATTAATAAAAATAATAAACCCTAGGATTGGTTTTAATATAGACACTCTTCTTTTAACAAGTGTTTCTTCTTTAGCATAGCATTTCAACACTCAAAGAAAATTAACAGAACTCTGCCTTAAGTATGACTAGTGAGGTAAACAAAAGTGGCTTTCATCATCTGTTTGATGTTTTAACAAGGTATTAAGCTACTGGCCAACTGAAATGAATGTCCAATTTCTAACTCTTTACAATATTCTGAAACAGATGTTAACATTTTACTTTGTTGTTCCTCAATATTTGTCTTTTGAATCAACGGCAAGCTTCTTCTGGTGTAAATATTTTCTTTCATGCCTTAGCTGTTTGATCACTTTATTTTTCCTGGCTAATGTTTCACATTTTGCTCTTTGATACTTTCTGGTCAGACCCTTTGGGTTCAAGACTTCAAAGTAAACCAGAACAAATGGCACACAAGACCAATTCTGCCCAAGCATTTTAAATTCAAATGTGGTTCTTCAACATGCTTGGTGTGCTTTACAAAAAGTCACTTCCTTTCTTGTATTCATCACTAAATAAAGCACCTTTCAATAAAAGGTAAAAAATTAAAGTAATTTTTGTTTACACTGTGTTTTTGGAGTTCTTCTCTCACACAGATTGATCTAGACAACATGAAGCAGCACCAGCAATCACATACTTCCTATCAGACTACTGCTCCCTAAAAGGTACTTCAAAAGGCAATTATCACATAGGAAAGAAGACATTAGGGCTTTATTGTGGACTTATTACATTCAAAGTTTTTTTTTTTTAAACAAATAAAATGTAGGCTATTTTTATAAGATAGTTTTCATGCTTGGAAAACAATTGCTTGTTTCCTATGACCACAAGTTTTGGTATACAAAACTATATGATTAATTTATTGTACCTTACTATAAATAGGCCACCAAAAGAGGACATTTTCCCATTAAACAATGAGCCTCTTGAGAACAAGAACCTACCTTATCCATTTTTGCACATCCAGCAGCCAGAAGAGAAGGTGCTCAATAAATGTTGTCTTAATAAATAAAGAAGGAACGACTAAGCAATTTATTTTAAGATTATTAGCTATGGTCTAACTAACAAAAATTTTAGGTAGAAACTTACAATTTACTTTATAAAGATAAAAGGATAAATTATAAATGAATCCCTTTTTTTAAACATCTAATTAAAGCAATGTTCTCCTGCAGAAACACACGCCATGACTCCAAACCATAATTCTTGGTAATGGAGTGACAAAACTGATTTGAGAGAGCCCAAAGAGCAAAATGCAAATGGGCACTATTAAAAAAAATCACAAAGCAACTGAACATTATGGTTAAAATATCTAGATTAGATAACACTAATATGTTAATTTTAATTTCCTTGTTTTGATACTTGTTTTGTGGTTATGTAAGAAAATTCCTTTTTTAAGAAATACAAACTGAAGTATTTAGGGGTAAAAGGCCATCATATGCATTAATTGCTCTTAAATGATACAAAAAGTACTTATATGAACATACACATATACGAGTAAGAAAAAAGAAAGAGAGAAAACAAGAGTAGTGAAATGTTAATCTTTGGGGAATCTAAGTGAAGGCAATAGAGTGATTCTTTGTACTATTTTGAAACTTCTGTGTATTGAAAACAATGTGAAAACTAAACACTCAAAAAATAAAAGAATTATATTATTAAAATGTCTAAAAAGCAACCACACAATAAATACAACACAAAATCTGTATCACAAGCATTTAGTTGAGAACAGGATAAAATAAACTTTCCTTTCTTGGAGGCCAACATAAATTAAAATTCTATCAGAAGTGATCAAATAAACCTCTCCAAACTTAAACACAGACTTTCTACCCTATTACCTCTGATACCTACAATGACTCAGTTTGAGTCTTAACATGCAATTATATCTTAGAGAACAAGGAATTAAACTTAGAAACAATAGAAAATAATATAAGAACAATTTTTCTCAGTCTTTTAAGGAACACACATTAAGTGAGAATCTGGCCAACCTTCTTGCCTTAATTTTACCTAATTCTGGATGAAATAAAATTAATTATCAAGCATTAAAAGGTAAAGAAGGTCAATAGTCTATTAGCCTCTGACAATTCAATGAAATATCAACATCAGATATATTTTGGATACTGGGAAAAACTCACTGTCTACTCTTTTAAAAGTATATGGAAGATAAAAATATGTTAATAAAGAAAAGCTAGTTTTTTATTAGAAAGCAGTATCACCATTAACAGAATACACATTTCATCAAATATTACAAAGTTTAAGACACAACTCAGAAGAAAAGAGAACATATCCTCACCCAATTGGGAAATCAACATCGTCACCATGAGCTGTCATGTGATAAAGTCCAAATTTAGCCAATTTAACATGTCCCTACAATAATAATAATAATAATAAAACATTACTAAATATTTTAATATTATTAGTAGGAAAAAATATCATTATGTATCATAAGTAAGGAAATCACCATTAGTGAGGTACATTAAGAAAAAATTGTATTTTATCATAACTATAATAAAAACTATTTGCCAATGTGTGAAGCCTGCTTTATTCTCATTACAAATATATGTATATGTATATGCATACATGTATGTATAGATATACACATATATATTACTTGTATATAGATCTCAAAACAACACTTAAAAAATTAAATTTATTTTTTTATAAATATATAAAAATTTTCCAGATATGTTGACAAAACAAAAAAAGCAGAAATGTTCTCATTTGTCTTGAATCCCTGCTTGGAACATTTTTGGTAATTTTCACAAGATAAATTTTTTTTCTTTCAAGGAGTTCCAAGTCCATTCATAATGTCATAAATTTAACCCTGACATGGGAATTCTTAACTTGAAAATATTAGTTACCAAATCATGAAGATATTAGTGAATCTGCTAGATTTCCAACAATCATTTATATTGTTTGAAAAAGCCATAATTATCACAAGAGATTCTTAATAAAAGACAAATATAAATTTTGTAAGTCTCTTAAGTTTTCCTCCTTTTAGATATTTAAGACTTTAAAACACATTAAGTTGATTTAAATTTTTTTTTCTTTTTCTCAAGAACTTTACTTCTCAGCATTACAAAACATTTATATCTCAAAACAACTCAGATTGGTTATATACTCCACTGCCATAAATATGAAATGGATGAGTACCATTTTAGCTTTTATGATTTTTAATACCATAGCATAATTGTATTAAAAGTCTAGAAAAGAATCAGAGGAAAATAATAATCCTTCTAATATAAAAAATAATTCCCAAGACAAACTTCTTTCAAAGCTATTTTAAATGCTTATGAAAAAATGAAAGTATGATTATTCCTGAAAATATACCATTTTGCTACCCATAATTCTCTTACAGAGGTTGACTTGCTTCTTATTAATCACCCATAAGATTTCCAAGTAAAGAAGTGGTACTCCAATAAAAAAGGAAACTAGGTATGAACAGTTGGTAAATAAAGAAGATAATGGGGAATAAAAAAAAGAAGAAAAAATAGGGAGGAAGAATAATAAACAGGAGAAAATGCAAAACAGTTGTACTATCAGAAAAATACTCTGTGTTAATAGAGCTTTCTTTAAATGAAAGCAAATTCAGGGGTGCCTGGATGGCTTAGTCGGTTAAGTGACCAACTTTTGATTCCAGAGCAGGACATGATCTCACGATCCATGAGATTGAGCCCATGTCATCCAGCTCTGTGCTGAAAGAAGGGAGCCTGCCTGGGATTCTCTCTATCCCTCTCTCTCTGATCCTCCCATGTATGCATGTGTGTGCTCTCGCTCTCTCTGTCTCTCTCTCTCTCTCAAAATAAATAAACATTTTTTAAAAATGAAAGCAAATTCAGAGGAGTGGACTGGGAAGCTATAATGCATACTTTTCAGAAAGTGAATGAAAGGAAAAACAAAACATGAAGTTAGAAAATGAATCTTGAGGAAAAAGGAATAATGCATGTGAAAAAAACACATGAACTTAAAAAATTTAAAGATAGTTTTTTTTATTGTTTATTTATTTTTGAGAGGGGGGACAGGAAGGGCAGAGAGGGGGCGACAGAGGATCTGAAGTAGGCTCTGTGCTGACAGTGGAGAACTCGATGTGGGGCTAGAACTCACGAACTCCAGGATCATGTCCTGAGCTGAAGTTGGACACTTAATTGACAGAGCCACCCAGGTGCCCCATAAAGGTAGTTGTTTTTTTTTCCTAACTGCCACAAGTATATCACTTTCATACAGCCATTTCATTCTGAGTATTATTAAAACATATTTGTATTCTAAAGACCCTCTGATAGAGTGGGTCTAATTTCAGTAGCTTCCAACCACAAATAACAAATAAAATATTTGTTACTTAATTTATTATTTGACAATTACCTTTCGGTCCAAAAGAATATTATGAGGAGAAAGTGCCCGGTGTACTATACCATGTTTGTTCATATACTGCAAACCCTGAAGTACCTCAAATGCTATGCACAAAACCTTTGAGTAGCTACAAAGAAAAAAAAAAAGTCACAGATCAATAGATACAATTACAAAGCAGATACAGAACCTGTTTTAAAGAATGAAATGACATTATAAAAATTGAAAGAGTTGTATTTTTATTATTCCTCTTCTATTCAGAGAAAATACGATCTATAAATTTTATAAAATATCCACTACATACATATTTTGGATTTTATGATTACAACAGAATTGATCTGGCAAAGATCCTACAGTTTTCTAAGCCTACTCTAACAGCAGGGAGGGAGTTGAATTTTGGTGATGCACAATTAACCTTCTACAGGTTTGTCTTTGCCAAATTATCTGGGAAGTTTCAAATATAAGGCAGAACTAAGTCAATGAAAACCACCTTTCCTGCTCAAGACAAAATACCTAAGTTCCTGAAAAATAGCTAAAATATATTTTATGGTAGATGGACACGAGGTTACTTTCCATATCCACAAAACAACCCCTAGCAACTGACAATTTATCAAACATTTCTCTTTAATTCTTCCTAAGCCATCTTCCAGTGGAATGCCCAGTTTCTCTCTTTTTCCATCTCTTTCCATTTTTTTTTTTTAATCAAGAACCATTAACATGGGAAGTTAGGGATGATATAAGGAAAGTGGGAAAGACTAATTCAAACCCAATCCCCCAAACTATCAATATTAACATTTTTGTATAGATTTCTTTTCTACTCATTTTTTGACATTTTATCTATCTATCTTAATTGGTTTATATTATGCTTTTTTTTTTTTAAAGATTTTTGTTTTTTTTGTAAGTAACCTCTACATTCAACATGGGCTCAAACTCCCAACTCCAAGATAAGTCACATGCTCTACCAACTGAGCCAGTCAGGTGCCCCTGACATTTTAAATTAGACTTTTAAAAATTAAATTAATATCTACAGGTAATCACTAAAACTAATTTTTTAAAAGGTATAAATAAATTTATAAATTTATTTTATAATAAATAGTAAAGATAAATAAAAGTAAAGATAAATAAAAAAAATAGTCAACCTCAAAGCTGGTAGAATAAAAGGAAAAAAAGAACAAAGAACAAATGGAACAATTAGAAAATAACAGACTTTAATTAGGATGTATCAAACATCATATTAAATGTAAATGCAAACATCTAAACTGAAAGATAAAAATTGTCAGATTACATAGGAATTAAGCCTCAATTATATTCAGGCTATAAGGAACCCACATTAAATAAAAGGCATACATTAAAGTAAAAGGATGGAATAACAGATCACTGATTATCATGGGCTTGCTTGGAGGGACGGGTTGACTGCAAGAGAATATGTGGAAAATTTACCTGACAGAACTGTTATGTTCTTGATTTTGATGATGATTACACTACTGAGTTTGTCAAATTGACTGACCTGTACACTAAAAAAGTTATATTTTAAAATATGTAAATTACAGCTCAATAAACCTAATGTTAAAAAAGTAAGCTGAAGAAAATTTTCAAAAAAATATTTGTAATATGACTCCCTCCTCCAAATTAAGTCCATAAGAAAGAGCAAGACGTGAAAAGCTAAAATCCCTTTCCTCTCATCCTAGTCTGACTTTCCAGAGGTATCCACCCTTAGCAATTTCTGTTTTCAATTCTGCTGGTTAGATTTTAGTTAACATTATTAAGTCTTTGCTATGCAAGATGATATAATTAATATACTTTTACAACATTCCCATTTTCCTTTCCCAACTCCTGATTTTTATTAGTTATATTATTTTTAAATTATCGAATTTTATAGATGAAACAAAAGAAATCTACATTCCTTTCTTGAAGGCTAGACAAATAAACAAGTAAATATATGATACATAGTAATTACGTGTTAAGGAGGAAAAGGAAGAGAGAATGTGGGGTAGCAGGTTGCTATTACATGTAGAGAAGGAAGATCAAGGAAGGCATCACTAAGATGACATTTGTGCAGAAATCTAAAGGAAGTGAAAAAGACATGTAGCTCTCTGGGAAATACGTGATTCAGGCAGAGGGCACAGTAGGCAAGTCCTGAACTGGAAGATTGCATAGCAGTTCAAAAAGTGCAACAAAGCCACTGTGCATGCGGTAGAGTGAGCAAAGGGCAAGGTGTTAGGAGATGAGGGCAGAGACATAACAAGGAGCCAGATCATGTAAGGCTATTTAGGCCATTGTAAAGCCTTTGGCTTTCACTCTGAGACAGATGGGAAGTGGTTGTCACATTGCTATACTATGATTAGTAAATATTCATTGTAGAACTAAGAAAACAATATACTCCTAAGCCACTTAACCCCTAGCTCTCAAGAGAAAATGTATCAGTCATCAGGATTTGATGGATACTATAATTTCATAATTATACCTCTATTATGAAGGTTATCATCAGCTATCATCATTTTTATACTTCTTACTCATTTTGTATTTACATTTTTATTTAGTTAGAATACATCCATGAGAAAATTTTTCTTAAGGGTGGCATGAGTAGGAAATTTTAAAGCATGGTCTTAAAATGTCTTATTCTTGCCTTTAAACTTGGCAAAAGATTTCTCTATTGTCCTTTATTAATAGTAAGAAGTCCAATATCAATCTAATTTCGTTGTAGACACCTTGTTATTCCCCTCCGGAAGCTTGGGATTCTTTTTCACTTTATCCTTAGACTTTTACAATTTTAGTCCAGTATATCTAGAATATGGGCATTTGTGCATTTATGTTAGTAAGCAATAGGTGTGGCTTTTAACCTGAAGACTCAAATGTTGCATTAGCAGGAGAATTAAGAAGGAAAAGTTTATTTGTTATGTCTTTGTTTTCTCCCTCTACTATATCTTTTAGTTAGAACTCTCAGAGGGCAGGTGAAAATTACATCTATTCTTGAGATCAACTTTCTGTTTTATTTACTATGAGTCTGGCCTTTAGTCCTATCTCTTCTACTATTTAATTTCCAAGGTCTTTGCTCTGTTCTCTAGTTGTTCTTTAATAGATCCTTTTCTTTTGATTATGGATACATTATTCTTTTGAATCTCTCTGAAGATAGTTATTAGAATTCTGTTAATAATTAAGGGGAAAAGAAGGGTGTTATCTTTATTTTCTCTGGGGTGTTTCTGTTTTTTTTTTTTTTTATTTGCTTTTTTTTTTCCCCCACTTCCCTTGGCTTTCTTTCTCTCAGACTATTTTTTCCTCAAATGTCTGGTAATCCTTAGTTGCCTGCCATACTTTAAAACAAAGCAATAAACTGACATTCTTCATAAAGTATGTAAAAAAAGAAGTAATAAAAGTTGCTATTTATAAGGAATGCTTATTTGAGACTCAGTAGGTTAAGCATCTGACTCTTGATTTTGGCTTAGGTCATGATCTCAAGGTCATCCCCAAGCCCTGACTCTGAGCTGAGTGTGGAGCCTGCTTAAGATTTTCTCTCTCCCTCTTCTTCTGCCCTTCCCCTGCTTGCTCCAGTGCTCTCTCTCAAAAAAAAGAACACTTATTTAAACGATTTCTCTTTATCAAGCAGTTTCCCCCATATTAAAGTGCGACAACAGCTACTCAAGCAAATAGGAAATGTGTGAAACAAAAACAATTTGAAAGTAACAAGAGTTTTCCTAAACAGCCTCAAAAAAGAAAACAACTTTGTAAAGGAAAAGATTCTGAACTTTAAAACAACTATAGTGATACTGGCAAATATGTGCATGTGAAAGAATGCAGACCTGTCTCATTTTAAAAACAAAGAAAAATTTTCCTTGACATTGACTAACAAATAAAAGATAAGAACTTAATTTTCTAAACTCATTTGACTCTGTAAGTCATGTTTACCATAGTAATCTGTCTTGTCCTCTTTGTCCTTTTCTCCAACATGCACACACATAATTCACAAAATCTTAAAAGCTGATGCCATATTCAGCTGTGACACTAGAGGACCTCAGTTGCACACTACTTCAATATAGATGCCTTCCTTAAGAAATTAAAACCAAACCTTTAAAGTGATTTTTCCATTAAACCAGTTCTCAAACAGCTGAACAGAGAAGACTACATGTTCTATTTTGACAACTTGTTTTTGCTGATTATAAAATATAATTGGAAAATACTTCCATGTCAAAAAGCACATTCATGCTATTATAGAGTTGATGAGCATATATGCTGAAATAATTTTTAAATATTCAAACATATAAAACTGAAGCTCATGACATACCTTTCCTTAGCTATTACTTGAGAGTATTATAGCTAATGGACTTAGTACTCTTCTAAATCAGAGTAAATCACATTTGGTTTTCTGCCCTATTGTAGGATTTAATTTTTAAATTTATTTTAAAATACAAGTATAAAGGAGAAGAAAAAGATAGTGTTATTTTCTATAATGAGACAATAGAATCAGTATTTGTGAAATTCTGTATATTTACTTGTTTTTAAAGCTCTATTCTCTAATACTGCCAATAATTTAGATGATGAAGTCTTTTAAGATAATTATTTTGAAGTAGCTAATGCAATTATAATGCAACAGCAAAATAAAAAGTCATATGTATAGTAATAGCATGTCACAGTTAACTGAAAATGGGCTCCAGAAGGAGTTAAGATTAAGAGATTGGGATTCTCTCTCTGTCTCTCTCTCTCTCTCACACACACACACACACACACACACACACACACACACACAGATGTTGGCAGGGGATAAAAGGACTTCATCCTTCACAGTTCCCAAGTCAGAATCTTGTTAATAAAGAAATCCATCACTAATCTAGAAAATGTAAATCAAACTTCAAATTATAAAAGATCCTCTTCCTTTTGAAATTTTCAGTTACTACTGCTAATTCCAGAGATTAGAAGAGTAGCATTTACTTTGTTACCATTATCCTTGACACCCTGAGAAGTTTAATGAGCATAAGAATCTTTGGTGATTATAAAAACATAGATATGGCCAAAAAGGTAGCTTTCAAAATAATGATTAATAGTTTTTAATAAAGCAAAGTGACATTTTAAAATACTTTCATTTATATTTAAACGCATCAATTAAGTGGCCATTAGCTGCTTGGTACTGTGTTTTTT